TGGCAACTATTATGTGATCAACTCCTAATGATTTTGCAAGTTTATTTTGCGTCTAACATGAGTCTTTATCGAGTAATACTTTCAATTCTTTGTCTTCAAACATTTTCGGTGCGCCAGAGCGTTCTTTATCTTCAACATCAAAATTATTATTTTTAAAGTGTCCAAACCAATCTCTGCATGTTGTTTCCGACAGAACATGGTCACCGTAAATCTCCATAAGAATTTTATATGCTTCAGCTGCAGATTTCTTTTGAAAAAAATAATGCAATAAAATTCCCCGCAAACACTCCTTTTTTGGCACGAAATTCGACGTTTAACGCTACGAAAAAATAAGTTGTTTTACGCTTCGGCAGAATAACATCTACTGTCACTTCGAGCCTAATGATGGAGCTTCACGATGAAGTTGGCTATAATATTGCTCGATGCAAAAAGACTAAGATAACACCATCTGTCGGGAAACAGCGAGAACTTATTTAAGTCCCCAATATATACGATATAAGATTACGAAAAATTATCTCATACTAGTTTAACCCTTTGCGGTCGGCCGATTTTGAAGAGATCGGTAAACATTTGTAACGGCCGAACTCCGAGGTTCGGTCGTCGCTACGCGTTTTGCGCGGATAGGGTTCGTCGGAGTCCGGGTTCGGTGAGGAGGAAAGCAGCGAGACGTGTGATAATAATAATATAAATAAATTAGCTTTATTCGATACTTAATTATGTACAAGAGTTCGGCCCCGAAAGCGTTGTCGCGGGTTGCCTTTACTAGGCGCGTCGGTACGGTACGGTGCGGTGCGGTGCGCGGTACACGCGGGTTTACGGACGGATAGGCCGCGCGGTAGGCGGGGCCTATTTCGCGACACGTGCAGACAACGAAGACGGTAACGGCACGGTGATAAGCTTCGCCTCGCGACGTTGGACGTCTCGGAAAATTATTGCCCAATACTCAGCTCGGAATCGCTCGCGCAAAGATGGTCGCCGGACCGGAGATTTCGACTCTCGGTCGAACTCTCACACGCGAGTCGTGGAAGACGCGAGAGGATTTCGTCCATCGGGGCCGAGGAATCTTGACAGAGAAGGCACATGCACCTTCCCTTTTCCCTACGTTCGCGACGGAGAGCGACCAAGTGCTGCAGACACTCAGCGGAGACGACGGATGCACCGTCCCGGATCCTTGGTCGCTAGACGGATCGCTCAGAGGCTGAGCTCGTTCAGCAGAGTTCGCCGACGGACGAATCCCTGGAGCGGGGCGGCGGGTAAAGGCTAGAGACGGCCGAGTACTCTCGACTGAGCACGCGCGCGCACGAGCCCAGGAAGACGGGAGACGGCTAAGTATCAAGGACGCTCGATCGAGATTGCAGACGTACAATCCCGTTTGCTTAGTCGCCGGTGGGGTAATCGGAATATGGAAAGCAGAGCCAAACAGTCTGGATCTTCTAGCTATCGGCATAGAGCGTTTAGCAAGAACGGCGGTACGGATCGGTCTGGTGTTTAGGAGCTCGACCGCCGCCGTTTTATAGTCGTAATCACCATGAATGATACGGCGGCGATCGAGCGGCGCGCCAATCGGCGCGCGGCACGGCGGCGGCACGTGATAGCGGCCGCGCGCGCTAGCGGCGGCGCGTGATCGCAGCGGTGCGCGACAGCGGCGGCGCATAACGGCGGTGCACGAATTTGATCGGTTATGTGACGCTAAGCGCCGTTCATCGGCCCGACGGATGATCGGTCGGGCCGGTAGTAACGAGACGTAGGTGTGCCTCGTTACACATTGATATCTGTAAGTTGATCTAAACATTTGAGTCTAGCATCGGGAGGATAGTTTCCTTTCATTATCGCTAGCCTTGTTTGCCGTGCAGTGCGCCAGGCGATAATGAATGCCAGCCTAGCGGCATCGACTTCTACGACGACTTGCGAATGCCGCCACTGTGGCAGCATCGACCGCAAAGGGTTGATAGCACTCCTATACATTTCATAACAATATTTTTATTCCTATTTCCATTGCAATTATTATACAAGGTGTTTGATAGCTGATCATGCAGATGAAAATTAGAGATAGATTGGGTGTAGCCGAGAAGAAAAGTCATGTACCATAATGTCAAATTGGCAATAGTTATAGAGTTATTAATTAAAACATGTGAGCCAACAAGCGCGTAGAGAGCGGAGGGCGGCCGCAGTAAGCACGTAGACATTTGATACAGACGGAGTCAGCGAGTGGTGACAGGCAAGCGCGCGCGGCGAGGGGCAACGTAAGCGACAAGTGGCGATCGCGCGCGACGAGGAGCGAGCGAGCTTTTTCTTTATAGCTTTTTCTTTATAGCTCGCTCGCTCCTCGTCGTTCGCACTCGCTCGCTCCTCGTCGCGCGCGCTCGCCTCTTGTCGTTTACGTTGCCCCTCGCCGCGCGCGCTCGCCTATCGCCACTCGCTAACTCCTCCTGTATCAAATGTCTACGTGCTTACTGCGGTCGCTCTCCGCTCCCTACGCGCTCGTTGGCTCACATGTTTTAATTAATAACTTGATAACTATTGGCAATTTGACATTATGGTACATGACTTTTCTTCTCGGCTATACCCAATCTATCTCCAACTTTCGTCTGCATGATCAGCTATCAAACACCCTGTATAAAAATTTTTTCATACATTATATTAGATTGGGGAAAAAGAAATCCATTATTTTTCCGCTAGATGGCTTTTGTGCTATATATCACGTGATGTATTAATCGCATAGGTTAATATTTATACTCGTTGGAAAAATGACATTCCGTACTAAAAAAAATTCTTTAACGATTTTGTGATTTGTCGATTAAGTTGTGAGTTATAGCACGTAAAAGATGTATGTCAACAAAGAAAAAATTCGGTATATTTTACAATTTTCTTCGATAAAGGCGAAAATGTAAACCAGGCGGCTGAAATTGTGAATGGTGTTTATGGTCCCGATACTGTCACAGCCAATCACGCGCAATTTTGGTTTCGTCGATTCCGTTCCGGTAATTTTGATGTGAAAGATGCATCTCGCACAGGTAGGCCCGTCGTCGAAAATGTCAATAAAATTATGGAAATGATAGAAGTAGATCGGCATATTAGCAGTCGTAGTATCGCCCAGGAGCTGAAGATCGACCACAAAACAGTTTTAAACCATTTGCATAAAGCTGGGTTCAAAGAAAAGCTAGATGTTTGGGTGCCACACGAATTGACGCAAAAAAACATGATGGACCGAATTTCAATCTGCGAAGCCTTGACTAAACGGAACGAAATCGAGCCATTTCTGAAATGGATGGTGACTGGGGATGAGAAATGGATTACATACGACAATATTGTGCGAAAACGATCGTGGTCAAAGCGCAGCGAAACGGCTCAAACCAGGATTAACGGCCAGGAAGGTTTTGTTGAGTGTTTAGTGGGATTATAAAGGAATCATCCACTATGGGCTACTTTCATATGGCCAAACACTAAATTCGGATCTCTATTGTCAACAATTGGACCGTTTGAAGCTAGCGATCGACCAGAAGCGGCCAGAATTGGTCAATAAAAGAGGAATTGTTTATCATCAGGACAATGCCAGATCTATAGTGACTTGTCAGAAACTCCGGAAGCTTGGTTGGGAAGTTTTGATTCATCCACCTTATAGTCCGGACCTGGCACCAAGCGATTACCATCTGTTTTTGTCATTGCAAAACTTCCTTGGTGGTAAGAAATTGACCTCAATAGAAGACTGTGAAAATCGCTTAGTCGAGTTTTTTGCAAATAATCAGCTTCTATGAAAGAGGGATCATGAAATTACCTTTAAAATGGCGACAAATTGTACAATAAAACAGTGCTTATTTGACCAAAATCGAACAATTCTAACTATGTTAAATAAAGCCTTGAAATAAACGAAAAAGTAATGGATTTCTTTTTCCCCAACCTAATATATTTTATAGATAAGATTTACGGTTTCTTGTAATTTAGATCATTAATAATATATTTAACAAACACTAATATATTTAAGAAACGCAGTTTTATTATTTATTAATGTTTTCTGTTTCATTTTTATGCTTACAGAATAAAAAGAGAAACCATACAGCAGGGACTGAACTTCAGCCGCCAGCTCGATAGTCCGTTAACTTCGCTGCTGCGTTACGCCGCTTCGTTGAATACTCTTCTTTCTCACTCGTACACTTTGTTGGCTTTTTTCTTTATACAGTTTTTTCTCGAAAACGAAGAGGTATTGCATCGTATGCTATTACCATGAGTTATTAGTAGTCAAGTACTATTAACTGCATAAGTTTCGTTCCAAACCGTTTCCCGGTCAATGCGTCCTCTTCTTGTGAGACTTTTTTTTATTTGCCTATTATTTTTTGAGATAATTAAGGAAAACTTGATAATTTTTTCAATATTTAACTCACGATATCTCGCTAACTATTTGTTGGAAGAAAGTGATACTAGACTTCTTTGTTCTACTTGGTCTCAAGAATATATTATTACAATAGTGCCCTGACTTTTGTTAATTTAATAATTTTGAAATTACCAAAAGTCAGTAAGTTAACAAAAGTTAAGACGCTATTGTAACAATATATTCTTGAGATTAAATAAAGCAAAACAGTCTCGTACCATTTTTTCTCCTGATAAATAATAAGATATCGTAAGTTAAATATTAAAAAAGTTATCAAGTTTTCCTTAAATAAAAAATATTAGGCAAATATAAAAATATTTCAGACAAAAGTTGTTTAAATTAGTTGGTAGAAAAAGACGGTGTAATAAAAAATTGGGGTTTCCGTTTAAGAAAAGTAATGATCAGTGAATATCTCGAAAGTGGTGCTATTTGTAAACAAAATAGTATAGTTGTTTTATGTCCCCCTTGAAATCATACAACTTTTATTCGAAGCATTTTTACTGAAAATGCTTTGTTGAAGAATTATAGAGGTGTGCTTTTTTTTAATGGGACACCCTGCATATTAGAATTAAGGACTTTCCCTCCAATAATAAAATGAAACAACTAACTTAAATATACCCTTGTGATGACGTACACAGTCGCGAAGAATGATATAATCGCCTGACACTTTATTCAGGCGGTATTCCAAAATTTCTAATTGACAGCAAATATGTAGCAATAATCCACAAATGAGACTGTCACAAGCCACGTTGACAAGAGATCCCACTGTCAGGCTGATAAGTTGATGTGCGTATGTAAGACAAAATATAATGGTGGATGAGTAGTAATCATATGGTAACCATGCTCTGTATGTCAATTTTCCTTTTCTAAATTCGGTGAATAAAGATGTCACAGTGATGCACGCACATGTAGTTTCCACCAGAATCGTGTAGCAGAGAGTATTATTTCTGTAAAGTGGCTATGAAAACTGTTACACTCGCTTAAATAATTGAATTGAAGAAAACACTGCAACTGTTATATGGGAAGAATATTTCAATTAAAAAAAATCATTAAAATGCAATGATGTATTGATGACCGTTTCAACGACAAAATCTATATACACATATATATATATATATATATATATACAGAGTGTTTCGTTTTGAGTGATGTAGTCGATTATCTCGCGAACCAATTATTTTATTGAAAAATCTTTCCAACAAAAGTTACATGGCTTGAAGAGAGATACATGATAGAAATATGGACTTGACCTTGAGTGACCTGGTCAAAGTCAGGTTAAGGTCATTAATGGTTTTTTAAATAGGACACCCTATTTTTCATTATATATTTTTATAGCTTATCTTGAGAGCTATTTAAAATTCTATAATAAAGATATTTTTTGTTGAGTACTTTTCGAGTTATGGAGCTTGAAAGTTACAGTAATGCCGGCATTAGCGTTATCCAAGATGTACAGGGTGTAACAGCAAGATACAAGTCAGTATGACGGGTTGCTTGCTCCTATTCGGATGATAATGCAGAGGTTTCCGAAAAAGTCACTCGTTGATTTTGTTGATGATAATATTTGCCAGTTCCCAGTTATGACAAATGCAACTAACTTTGCACCGTATTTATTATGACAGTTTATCGACCGTTTACCGACAGGAGTCGAGCCTCATTGAATTAAAAATGATGTTTAAAAAATGAAACTGAGAAATAAATATTGCGGAATAAAGCAGAATAAATTAGAGTAATATTTAAAGAGATAAATAATATAATATAAAATAATATAAAAGAGATAAATAATATAAAAGAGATAAATAATATAATATAATAATATAATATTTCCTGGTTTCGCATAATTTCTTAATTGTTTTCTTACGGAAAGTTCGATAGAAATTGGAGATTAGGAAGAACGATACAGAAATATTTAAAAGTCTTATATACTGCATTTCATCCATGTTTCTACAAAAAATCGCTTCTGCAAAAATATGAATAAACTACAAACGCAATATACATATTGGTTGCAATTTAATTGACTGCAACTATCAAGCTGCAAAAAATTTCGAACAGGCCCAATTTTTGATAGAAGATGCAAGACTATAATGGCCCTATAGATTATAAAAGGCCTTATTTTCGATGCTAACAAGGGACATGTCACAACTGTCCGGAACCGATTTGATTCTCCTTCAAATATGTTGTTAAATACACAAATCTAAAAGACACGTATTTTTTTATATGTATGAATATTGAGTTTTAAAGGGTGAAACACCCCTTTAAACACAGTTAAAGAAAAACGGTATTTTTCTTCAGAATCGAATATCTGCTAAACTATAAGCGATAGAAAAAAACATGTAATGAAAATTTAATCGCTTGAAGAATATTTTAAAGTTATATGAACAAAAATTTTTTATTCTTATTTTTCTTAAGAACCCCCACCACTTAATTTTTTTTGCAAAATAAAAAAAATATTTTTACCTAATTTAAAGCTTATTTTTTTCCAAATTCAACCATATATGATAAAGTTATGTTACGAGATATCATTCTCGAAAATTAATTATAAACGCTCCCATATATAAGCTTATCCGTATTATGTGTGTAAGTTATTATCGCCGAAACAATAAGATATATGAAAAATGTTTATGTAAAATTTTTATCTATGTTTTCTATGTATTTATAACTGCATATTGTGTATATTTAGAATTGTAAAAAAATTTTTAAATAATTTTAAAAATTTAAATTAATAAGAATTTTTTAAATATATCCCCAGCTCTCTTATTATTTCTTTAACATTTAATTTCTTCTATAAAAATTAAAAACAATTTTATTCTAAAATTACCTACTTATAATAAAATTATTTTACAATTGAATCTTGAAAATATACATGTCGCAATAGTTGGCATAAACTATTTATATTTTACGTTAAGAAATTAAGATAAGATTATGTGTACGTGTTCCAGATATGTTAACAGTATAAATTTTTTCATGTAGCAATCTAATACTCACAGTCAGCACACACTGTCTTTTCGTTATATAATCAAATCTATTATTCATCTTTACACATTATATTTTTTAATAACGTTTTATAATTTTTTCTTTTACAATTATTTTTGTTCTTACATCATACATTTTGTTTATTTGTTATTTACACAATGAATTTATTTACAGTTAATATTATTTACTTATTATACACATTACAATAATGATATTCGACAAAAAATGTTTTAAGCATAATGATTTCTTGCACCAAGAACATCTTACTACAGCTATATTATTGCAACCTTCAATATCACATTTTGTTGATGTTTCGTCAAAACTAAATTTTACTGGATTTTCAAATTCTTCTAGTTTTTCATTCGTATAACTACTTTTAAACGACGAATATTTAAATAAGTTTTGATATCATGGGGATGATAATTGATTATGTATCAAAGATTGCAATTGTATTATATTATTTCGTTCATGTAAATTTATATTACTTTCCAACAATAAAACCGTACCTGAAAATCTTTTAGCAAAATTTTTCCAAATTCTGAATCCATAAACATCTAATGGTTGTATTTTCCCTGTAGTTCCTTTCGGTATTATCATAGTAGTAATACGTATTCCTGGAGGGGTTAAATCCGAAATAGTATTGGGGCAATGTCCACAGTGATGGGAAATCGGTGACGGACTTGCCAGCGAATTTCCCTCACCACGCACGCATACACAGCCGACTCGGTCTATCTGTGTGGGCCACGCGCTCGGCAACCGTCGGCGCGCCGAGCGAGAGAGACAATATTATTCCCTCTTTCTCGCTCTCGTCTTCGCTCAGTGACGCGAGTTAGGCTGATTCTTTCTCGGCTGCAATCTGAGTCGCGGGCGCGACTATGACAATACTGAGAAGTTTTTCCTATTCGGTGCGCCGAAATTAATATGAATATTATTTTATTATTAATAATATTATTGTTTATAATAATAATATTAATAATATTCCGCGCCGAGAAAATGAAATATATTTCATTAATTGTTTTGCTGAGGCGGACAGGTTCATAAATTTGATTATTGTTGGGAATTGTTTAATAATATTTGAAGAATAATTTTAAATTGTACAAAGATATAGAATAAAATATGGAAAAGAATTGTAACAAAGTCAAGAAGGTACGAAATAAAACCTTCTTGCTTTCATTACAATATCCTCTGAATTAACAAATACTCTTCAAACAGTATTAAACAATCCCCAAAAACAATTACATCCGTAAAATCTTCTGTCTGATCGAAAAAAAATTCATAAAATGTGTCTGTTTCGCCGCGCTGAATGAGAAAACCATCAAAACAATCAGAGATGGTCATTGGTATTTGAAATAGATGCATTTAAAATGGAAATGCAAAATGCAAAATGCCCATTTTATATTTTGCATTTAAAATACATTTCTCAAAAACTATTTTACATTTCCATTTAAATGGTTTTCATTAACCATTTTCTATTTCGAATAAAATAGAAAATGGGTTTTAAAAACTTTTTCTCATAAACTAAGAAATTACGGAAACGAATATCGGAAATGATAAGAAAGCTACCGAAGTTGCCGACGCCGGCTCTAGCGCGGTCTAGGCATATAGGGTTTAGGTGTCGGTCGTGCCCTATATTATCTCGCGAGTACAACACGAGTGTACGAGAGATAGCGGGCACGCACGCGCCGACGTTATACGAAACGAGAGAACCAGAATGCTGTGCGCGGGTACCTTTGAAAGCGAACATCGTAACAAGCTGCCACTTTTAGTCACGTATCTAGTGATTGACGGAGGGTGATTTATATTGTTGCTGTCGTTCTGCGTTGACTGATGTCAAACTGTGTTGCTGCTGTTTTGCTGTACTACCGTTGTTGTTGTTATTAACGGGAAGGAGATGTGGACCTTGGCGTCTCAGCGCCTTGTTGCTACGTCTGTGAAGTCGCCGACGACGAGACTTCGCCGCTACGCGAGGTGAGTTAATAATTCTCATCTGCTTCTCTTATCTGGCTAAACGGGCCCGCCATTTCTCCCACGCGAGCAATGGTGCTATTGTTCTTAAGCGGTCGTCCTAACCGGGGCGAATCTAGTGGTCGGCTAAAACGAGACGAATTTATATCCAGGCTCACAAGGCCTCTTATTGTCCGTTTGAGTGTAGCGTTGCGCAAGGTCTCTTGAAACCCTCTTTTTTCCTCAATCTGTGATTGTTCTCTGCCGAGGAGAATAATTTTTCCCTGTCGAACATGATACGGGTTTATTTGGATCTACATCTTTTTCTTTCGTCTTCAGCAATAACCTTTTGACTCTCCGGCAGAAGGGAGTGAAGTTCGAGTGGATCAAAGGCGAGAAACACGAGATACGACATAATGGAGGCTTTGCTGTCTTGTCCTGTCCGTCGATGACGAATTTAGTCTCACCGAATTTAACGAACGACTACGATCGCCAGGCGAGAAGATGAAGACCAAAGCGTTTTAGTTATAAAATTGTACCGCGAAGTTGTTCTACATCGACTGCGTGTTAAAAACAGGACATTTTCTGTACATGTCTTTTTATGAATGCTGAAAAATGTAAGTATTATTTATAATTCACATTGCTATTCCAATAAGGCAATGTTAAGATAGAAGTTATTTGTCTGTGCAAGTTTATTAATTATAATATATTTCCTTAGGGATGAAAATTTTCCACTGATTTAAAACATTGTTTCAAAGACGTGAAAAAGCAAGATCGAGAAAATGTATCTGCTGTTTGCACAAGATCTGCAAAACCATTAAAAGGAAGTCTCGTCGCTACCACAAATTTTTTAAATCATTTAAAAGTAAGCAACATTTTTATTTATTTTTTTAAAGAAAAGGGATCACAGAATAGGTGCTCTGCTTCCTATAAGTTATAGAATTAGTTTACAACTTATTTAGTTATTTTATTTTGATTGATGAATGCTCACATTTTATTCTTCTGAACTATGTATATAGAGTGATTCGAAACAACCTTGTATCCTCTGTTAGAAAAGTTGTTAAAAGTAATAGCGATTTTACTAGTAAATTTAATAATTTAGATATTAAATTTTTTTCCATAACCAAGTTATGACAATTAATAACCAAATTGATATTAAATGTAATAATAGTTATGAAAAAACATATTCTAAATATGATTATTATTAAATGAAATATAACTATTATTAAAAGTAATATCAATTTAGTTATTAATTTTCAGAATTTTGGTTATGTAAAAAAACTTCACATCCAAATATTTTCATAATCAAGTTATGAAAATTAATAATCAAGTTATGAAAATTAATAACCAATTGATATTAGACTTAACAATAGTTATGAAAAGTCATATTTTGAATATGATTTTTCATAACTATTATTAAAAGTAATATCAAATTGGTTATTCATTTTCATAACTTGGTTATGTAAAAAAACTTCACATCAAATTATTAAATTTAATATGGATTTTTCTAACAGTGCTGGAAAAAAATATAATCCTGAACTATACTCTGTCCCATGAGAGAACTATATGGCTTCGCGCAGCTTTGGGCAGAGTGGGGAAGACTCAAATGCGCCACTCAGTGTCGTATGTATATGACGACAAAATGTTGCAGGTTAGTGTTCGCGCGCGGGCCTTTGCTGCCGGTTGTAGCCGGCATTGACATACAACACCAATTTGGTATGGAAAGAGCAAAATGGGCGTTCCGTTAGACGGGATCTGACCGAACCAGACGAAAAATCATATAGTTCTCTCATGGAACAGAGTATAGATTTTAAGATGACTTTTCCTCTTTCAAAACTTTACCTGAAGCCAAATTTGTGAATTATAAAAAGAAATAGTTTTCTTATCACTGGATGGATACAGAAGATAGACAGTGGCGGCGCTGACAGCCGCCTCACGTAAGCGCCCACGTCTGATGATGAGTTGCGTAGTAATTGCCTATCCCCTGTATTCGTCCAGTGATAAAAAAACTATTTCTTTTTATAATTAAAAAACTAGACTTCGGACAAAGTTTTGCAAGAGAAAAAGTTGTCTCAGAATTTAGTCAGGATTCAGGATTGTATTTTTAAGGCACTGATCATGACATGTATATAAAGACTGCATCCAATATCACGACTGATCATGACTAGCGCTCATTAAACGAATGTACGTAATTGGGCTTTTCTGTTTAAAATCTAAAGCGAGAAGCTTCTGCATAAAGCACGCTCTTGCATTACGCATAAGTATGATAATATCGTTCATTCTTTTAGAATGTTCCAACAGAAATGTCAATCATCGCAATTCATTGGTTCCGGGTGTTCGTTCCACGTTCCGCAGTTCCGCTGCATGGGGATCCAGCCTTGGGGTGACTCCCCATGGACACGAGAAAGCGGAACGGAACAGCAATGGAATTATTCTGATTGGTTACTTGGGGGATATCTAACTTTACCTGGGGGTCATTAACCAATCAGAATAATTCCATTCCGCTTTTCCGTCCCGTTTTTCCGTTGCATGGGACGGCACCCTAAGGGAGAATTCATACCTTGGGAGAAAAGCAGATGTCAATCAGAACTCGCGCTGGTAGTCTGTCTCTGTCTTTCTCTTGGCTTCTACTTTCTGCTATTCTGCCAAAGTATGAATTCTCCCTAAGAACCCATCATACCTATCTACTCACTAAGTGTTTAGTACTCACAAGGGAACGGTCGAGGGCGTCCCTCACCGATTTGAATGTGCATTGGATATGTTGTAGAGGATTAAAAAAAATATTAGACACGTATTTTTTTATATGTGCTTATCTCAAGGTTTAGGGATTGAAATAATGAGTGGAAGGGGGAGCGGGGAGTGTAAATTTGATATTTTGAAAATTTTGAATTGACAGGTGCAAAGAGCATCAAATACTGTAAAACTCTGACATTTACTATGTTTTCATATCTCTCATATTTTAGAAGATATTGGGTGAGGTAAAAAGTTCTGAGCGTTTTTTCTCTTTATTTCGACGATGAAATTAATGAAGTTAGGATTATCGGATTTAAATCAAATATGCGCCGTTTCGTTCGATAACTTTTGTCCATTTTGAAGGCAATTTCATAATTCTGCGATTGAAGAAGTCCTCGTCCCTATTGGTAAAAAACTTGACCAGCTCATTTTCACAAGCCTCTCTTGAGGCCAGTTTTGTACCATCAAAAAAATTTTGCAAATGCTTGAAAAGGTGACAATCGCTTGGAACCAGGTCTGGACTATACAGCGGGTGCGATATAACCTCCCATCCAAGCTCTCGGAGCTTCTGGCGCGTCGTCAAAGATGTGTGCGGCCTGGCATTGTCTTGATGGAACACAACACCCTTCCTATTGGCCAATTCTGGCCGCTTCTCGTCGATCGCCTGCTTCAATCTGGTCAGTTGTTGACAGTGTAGGTCCGAATTGAGTGATGGCCCGATGGGAGCAGCTCATAGTGGATGATTCCCTTCCAACCCCACACAGTAAACCAACACACCAAACACACAGTAAAACCTTCTTGGCCGTTAATCCGGGCTTGGCGATCGTTTGGACCGGCTCACCGCGCTTGGACTACGATCTTTTTCGCCTGTTATTCTCGTATGTGACCCATTTTTCATCGCCAGTCACCATCCGCTTCAAAAATGGGTTGATTTCGTTACGCTTCAGCAAAGAATCGCAGGCATGAATTCAGTCCAAAAGGTTCTTTTGCGTCAATTCGTGTGGCACCCATACATCGAGCTTCTTCTTGAGACCAGCCTTATGCAAATGGTTCCAAACGGTTTTCTGGTTAATCTTCAGTTCCTGGGCAATGGAATAAGTGCTCGCATGCTGGTCCGACTCGACGATTTCCATAATGTTATCGACATTTTCGACGATTGGCCTACCAGAGCGTGTCTCATCTTCGACGTCCATATTACCAGAACGGAATCGTTGGAACCACCGCTTTGCTGTTGCATTCGATACTGTATTGGGTCCACAAACAGCACAAATTTTTTTGGCCGCCTGCTCCGCTTTTTCCCTTTGGTCGTAGTGGTACTGAAGAATATATCGAATTTTCTCTTTTTTTACCTCCATTTTGGAACGCTCTAACACACAACTGGCTTCACCAAACACAAAACTGTCAAAGAACTTTTTTTAAAGCGTTATGTCACCTTTAAGTCGCAGTATAGAATGACCAGATGCGACGTATACATCGTGAGATATGACCTCACTAAAACCATCTAGCGGAAAACGCTCAAAACATTTTACTTAACTCAATATTTGATAAAAACGAAAAAATCCGTTTTTTTCAAGGGGTGATTTCAACCCCTAAACCTCAAGATAAACACATATAAAAAAATACGTGTCTAATATTTTTTGATCCTCTTGTCGTGGCCTTCGCGCCTGATGCACTAAGGCCGGTTAGGTTTCGGGTTCGCTCGTGGTCGTAGGGATTAAGATCCCGAGCTTCTCCAGGCGAGATAGAAGTAGTCGGTCGTACAAAAGAAGGTGGTGTTTATTTGTTCCTCCTTACACTTGCGCTTACATACTAGCGTGGAATGACGGACCCGCATTTATACGTAACTAATGAGACGCTCAGTTCTCGGTTCAATCTTCTATCTCCTCTTCTTTTTCGGCTCCAGTCTTATATCAGGTGTAGTAAAAAGAAATCCATTATTTTTGCATGAAATTGAAGGCTTTAATTACCATAGTTAGAATGATCCGATTTAGGTCAAATATGCCCCGTTTTGTTCAATAACTTGTTGCCATTTTGAAGGTAATTTCATTATGCCTCTCTCATAGAATCCCTTGTCCCTATTGGCAAAAAATTGAGACAGTCGATTTTCACAAGCCTCTCTTGAAGCGAATTTTTCACCAGCAAAATTGTTCGCCATGGACAGGAACAGATGGTAATCACTTGGTGCCAGGTCCGGATTATAAGGTGGATGCATAAGAACCTCCCGACCACGCTCCCGGAGCTTCTGGCGAGTCACTATCGATGTGTGTGGCCTGGCGTTGTCCTGATGGAACACAATTCCTCTCCTATTGGCCAAAGCTGGCCGCTTCTGGGCGATTGCTTCCTTCAGACGGTTCAATTGTTGACAGTACAGTTCCGAGTTAAGAGTTTTGCCGTAGGGGAGCAGCTCATATTAGATAATTCCCTGCCAATCCTACCAAACACACAGCAAAACCTTCCTGGATGTCAATCCTGGCTTGGCCACCGTTTCCGCCGGCTCACCGCGATTCGACTACGACCGTTTTCGCTTGACGTTGTCGTAAGTGATCCACTTTTCATCACCAGTGACCAACCGCTTCAGAAATGGGTCGATTTTGTTGCGATTCAGCAGCGATTTGCAGATGGAAATTCGGTCCATGAGGCTTTTTTTCGTTAACTCGTGTGGCACCCATACATCGAGCTTCTTTTTGTATCCAGCCTTATTCAAATGGTTCCAAACGGTTTTTTGTGCAATCTTTAGCTCTTGGGCAATCGAAACAGTGCTTACATGACGGTCGGACTCGACAATGTCCATGATTTTATCGATATTTTCGACAATTGGCCTTCCAGTGCGTGGTGCATCTTTGACATCGAAATTACCGGAACGGAATCGATGAAACCAAAATTGCGCGTGATTGGCTGTTACAGTATCAGGACCATAAACACTATTCACATTTTCAGCCGTCTGGCTTGCGTTTTCGCCTTTACCGAAGAAAAACTGTAAAATATAGCGTATTTTCTCTTTGCTAGTGTCCATCTTTGACGCGCGCTCAAACAAAACTGAATCAACTAATCACAAAACTGTCACAAAAGTTTTTTTAGTACGAAATCTCATCTTTCTAACTCCATCTAGTGGAACCCGATCGGACTTATACAACGCGAGATACAGATAACTAAAGCCATCTATTGGAAAAATAATGGATTTCTTTTTACTACACCTGATATATCCTGGTGCCTTTGGTATGATTGACACAATAACCTACTTTCGTGATCTCAGTCAGCAGAGTTGCAAGTTTATGTATTACACGTACTTTATGGTATCAGCACTCTAACCGAATTGTGTAAGGCATGCTTACTAACTAACTGTAGCGTAAGGTGGAATAATTAGGACGCGGTTACAACACCCTCCCCCTATTGGGAAAAGAAAACGGAGGCGCGACGTTTTCGCATTAAATAACTACAATAATTATACAAATATTGGGTGAGTGCAAAAGTTCGTGCGGAGTTTGTGAGTAAAAGTCACACAGTGATTAGGCAAACAAAAATCTTTATTCAATCAATGATATATTCTCCATCGTTTTCTATAATCTTTTCCCAACGTTCTGGCAGCATACGGATGCCTCAATCATAAAAACTGCGCGGTTTAGATTCGAAGAACGAAGAGACGCCGTTTTTTAAGGCCTCCAAAGAGTCAAAGTTTTTTCAATTTAAATAATTTTGCAATGACCGAACAAATGATAGTCAGATGGTGCGATATCAGGAGAATACAGTGGATGCGTTAAGACATCCCATTTCAGGCTCTTCAGTTTGCGCAGCGTCTTTTTCGAAACGTGTGGTCTGGCGTTGTCGTGATGAAAGACGACTCCCTTGCGATTTGACAAAATCGGACGTTTCTCTTTTATTTCTCGATTCAGATTGGTTAATTGGCGACAGTACTTGTCCGAATCAATCGTTTCGCCAGCGGGGAGAAGCTCGAAATAGATTATGCCCTTGCAATCACACCAAACAGAGAGCATCACCTTCATCGGGTGCAAACTGGCCTTTGGCATTGCGTCACCATGCTCACCTGATTGTTTCCATGTCCGTTTGCGCTGAACATTGTTGTAGAGGACCCAATTCTCATCGCCCGTCACTAGTCGATCCAAAAACGACTCGTTATTGAGCCGCCCGAGTAAAGAAACGGCTGCAGAAATTCGCTTGATTTTGTTCTTCTCGGTCAGCAAATGGGGCACCCATATATCGAGCTTCAAATCGAATCCCATCTTTTTTAAACGCCGAAAAGCGGTTGATCGGTCAACGTTTAGTGCTGTAGCAACTTCTTCTGTTGAAATTCGCGGATTATTGAGCACTAAAATACGCAAAACATCGTCATCAATGTCAGAAGGTCGACCAGAGCGTGGCTCGTCTTCAAGGTTAAATTCTCCGCGCCGAAATTTAGCAAACCATTTTTCCACAGTTCGTTTAGCTGGTGCTTCATCCTGATAAACATCCTGAATGTTTTTTACGGCTGCGGCAACGTTCATTCCCTTCCGAAACTCGTAAAGCATAACATGCCGTAAATGCACCTTATCGATACTCATTTTTAAAGTGATATTTCTCGAAGCAGTTTGTATGAAAACAAATGATTTTTTTTTAATAACAGCTGAAGACGTCACCTTTCCAACGTTATATAATATGTAGATGGAAGTATTAATGACAACACTTTACGACGCTTATAACTCCATCTATTGAAACTCCGCACGAACTTTTGCACTCACCCAATAGATACAATTATATGTGTTCCCGGTGACATTTTTTTTTCTTTTTATACAATCGTGTCATATTAATGCTAGGTCCCCTTTTCTTCATGTCGATGGGTTACTGCATTTGCGTTTTTTTAGTTGGTTAATGACCCATATGGTGGAGATTGTTATTATTAAAATAATTATGCAGCTCACCGTAGGGAAAATGATGTAGCTGTGCGTAAATAATGGGTTTTGTCTGTTTTCTAAAATTAGACTTATACGAGGGTGGTCCGATAAGTACTTAGCCTACAAAAGAATAACGAAAATTTTGGAAAAGTGGCGATTTATTTCTCAACATAGTCTCCTTTTAGCTCGATACACTTGACCCAACGATGCTCCAACTTCTTTAACCCGTCTGAAAAATATGTTTTCTCGAGGTCTGCAAAGTAGGCCTCCGTGGCGGCGATGACCTCCTCATTCGACTCAAATTTCTGCCCGGCGAGTGACTTTTTCAAGTTTGGAAACAAAAAGAAGTCGCACGGGGCCAAGTCTGGAGAATACGGTGGATGGGGCAGCAGTTCGTAGTCCAATTCGACCAATTTGACCATGGCGAGGGCGGAGGTGTGAGCCGGTGCGTTGTCATGGTGGAAGAACATTTTGTTCTTCGCCAAGTGGGGCCGTTTTTTTGGAATTCGGCGTCGAATCGGCCCAATAATTCGGCATAGTACAGCCCTGTGACCGTTTTGCCCTTCTCCAGGTAGTCCATGTAGATCACACCTTGTGAATCCCAGAAAACGGTGACCATCACCTTTCCGGCCGATAGGACAGTCTTCGCCTTCCTCGGAGCACATTCGCCGGGTGGAGTCCACTGTTTCGACTGTTCCTTGGTCTCTGGTGTGTACCAGTGGATCCATGTTTCGTCGACGGTCACGAAACGACGCAGAAACTCCTTTGGATTGCGCTTAAACAGCGTCAAACACTGCTCTGAAGTGGTCTCACGGTTGCGCTTGTTGTCCGGAGTGAGCAAACGCAGTACCCATCGCGCCGACAGCTTTCTCATGCCCAAAATTTCATGCAGGATATGACCCACGTGGTCTTTTGAGATGCCTACTGTCTCAGCTATCTCGCGCACCTTCAATCGGCGGTCTGCCAATACGAGATCGTGGATTTTTGTCATGTTATCCTCCGTGGTATCCGTTTTCGGGGCATCTGGGCGTGGCTCATCAAAAACCGACGTGCGACCACGTTGAAACTCGTTAAACCAATTTTTGACGGTCGCCATCGAAGGAGAAGAGTCACCGTACACAGCATCCAAGCGCTCTTTGATTTCGCTGCGTGATTTCCCTTCCAAAAACAAGAATCGAATCACCGACTGATATTGCTCTTTTTCCATTTTTCTAAAATTCGCGGACACGCCCGCTTCCATACGCGGTCAAAACAAAACTACGAGTCCGAATCGGCTGAAATTTCGACAGTAGCCGGCTACGAGAATATACTACACGATAGTAAATTTCTCTTGCGATAGTGGCGTCATCGGGCGGTGAGGCTAAGTACGGACCGCCCTGGTATCTTCTAATTTGGTACTTAATTTTAATAATTCGTCAGGATATGGAATTTTCTTTCGATTTAATTGTGGTATTTTGTTCTTGTATTCCTCTACTAGTGATTTAGTTCCTAGGAAGGTTAGATTGTAATCAGGTAAATATGCTGGAATTGTGTTTTCCTTTATCGTACCAGGAGTAGCTAGAGTTATGTCGTCAATTGTGAACTTACATTCCTGGTGTGCTTTCATCATTCCTGATTTTATAAGTTTG